GAGATGGAGATGAGAAACTCGGAGCTGGAGGGTCGCATCCAGAACACAGAGCAGGATCTCAGCAACTCTCTGGAAGAGCGGGATCGTATGGATTCTGAGATCCAAAGGGCCATAGAAATTCTGGATGTCAAGATCTTTGACCTCAATGATCTTCGCCAGAGCCTTGTTAAACTAATTAACAAGTAAAAATAATTAGAGTTGGTAATGTTTGACCCAAGTGGATAAACAGATGGGGACATCATCCCCGTCCTCCTCGTGCACTTTAGTGGCTGCGAGACAGTTTCTCCATGTAGGCTGAAGCTCCAGCGTCATGTAGGTGTCAGCCATAACAACACACAATCACTCCAGCGTAAGGCTTCTCATATAATAGTGCAATAAGCTAACTTTAAGGTAAGTGCTTGATCATTCGAGGTGCTTTTCATTTCTCAGAATTACGGCTTTAGTAACCAAAATGCCAAAATAGTGTCAAGATGAAAAAGAGGCCTTGTTTTTGAGAAAGGAGCATTTTTGGTGGATTAAAACAAAACAAGAATACAACAAAGATGTACAAAACAAAAGAGCTTCCAGGTTTTGTAATAATCTGATCGATCCCTCATCGACATGAACGTGTTTTCTATTGTTTTAAGTACAGAGAAGATTTTAATGAAACCTGTGTATACAGCATCATTTCCAAAGTGAGGAAAAACAACTGGCTCACGTTTCTTCTTCCCTTTTAGGAAGCTGCAGTAAGCTTAGAAGAAATGTTAGTTTATAGGATTATTTAAGCAAATTTCATCAAATTTAGGAATCTTTTCCTTAAAATGTGATTTTAAATCACAAGAAAACTAACTTCACCCATTAATGTGAAAACTTTAGATCATTTAAATATAGTATCAGATGTTAACTGCAGGGCTATATAAAATAAGCTTTTAGCGACGTTTTAGATTAACTTTGACATGTTTACTAATGGAGAGCTGTGAATGCTAAGCCTTTCGCCCTTAACAGGTGGCTTTATTCATTTAGAAAAGGATATTTGCTCCCAGACTGTATGGCTCGACTCTTGCTTAAATTATTTGCATCATTTTGTTTTGCAAGCCTTAATGTTTTATTTAAGGATGACTGTTGTGAAAGTTTGATGTTTCTAAAATGTTTGTAGGAGCAGAAATAAACAACAAATAAGTTCTCCATCATGTACCGCCTGTAATTTCCTGTTAGTCAGATTTGAACCCATGTATCTGGCCTATTGTGGTTTCAAATCTCAGAAGATTAAAGGGATACTTTGCAACTTCTTCATATTGTTAAACCATTCTCTTGAGCCAGCGGGTGCTAAAATGACCCTTTATAGGGTTAATGACTCGCCACCCAGCCCCTATTGCCCCCTTCCACTTGTAACTTCAAAAGTTGTCGGTCAGGTCCGTTGGGAAAATTGAGCTACGTACCTGGTGCTGCAGTCTGGTTCCAGCATGTTTTAGATCATGAACACAGCAAATTAGCATAATTTAGAGATGAACCACTCCTGTAGACACTAATGAAGGCTGGGGAGACATTTCAGTTGTTAAGGTGTTAAAAGTACGAACGAACAGCGAGGACATGAATGCTGCTTTTGTTTCTACTAAACAGACACTAGGGGGTGCTAAAACCAAGTCATAATTGCCTAGTCTCCCAGCCTGTGTATAGACAACCCAGTAGCAGGTGATGGTCAACAGTGTCAAAGGCTGCAGTCAGGTCCAGCAGGACCAGAACCAGAACCCTGCATCACTGTGAGTCAGAAGGTCATTAGAGACCCTAAGAAGAGCTGTTTCAGTAGAATGAGCTCTACGAAAACCTGACTGGAAGCTATCATAGATGTTATGTTCATCAAGAGCAGCTGTGAGTTGTTTAGCCACAACCTTTTCCAAGATCTTGGAGATGAACGGAAGTTTAGAGATGGGTCTGAAGCTGCTATGGAGAGAGGGGTCAAGACTCGGTTCTTTAAGAAGCGGGTGGATTACAGCGTTCTTAAAGTAAGCAGGGATCTGACCAGAAACCAGAGAAGCATTAATTATAGAGAGCACGCTGGGACCGATGGACTGAAAAGCACTTTTAAACAAAGATGAGGGTAAGATGTGGAGGGGGCATGCAGAGGTCTTCATAGAGTTAACTAGTTTGGTTAACTCAGGCAAAGAAACAGGAGCAAAGCTATCTAGGATGATGGGCCTGGTTGGAGTCGGGAGAGGCGGCGATAAGGCTGAAGGAGGGATGCTAGATCTAACCTTATTGACTTTGTCCACAAAGAAAGACAGAAAGTTCTCACAGTCTGCAACAGAGTGGATGGAGGCTGTAGGAGAGGCAGGAGAGACGATGCTGCTGATGGTGTTAAACAGCACCTTGGGGTTCCCTCTGCTCTGGGACACCAGGTTGGAGAAATAGGAAACCCTGGCGTCTCTGACTGCAGAGTTAAAGGATGTCAGAAGATCCTTTAGGTGCAGCAGATGGACGTGGAGATGGGTTTCCTGCCACAAACGCTCAATTTTTCTGCATTGGCACTTCAGGCTGTCATTAAACCAGGGAGTAGGGTTCACTGCAGGAACTGAAAGTTATGAACAGATTCGGTGACAAAGGGCAGCCTTGGCGGAGGCCAACTCTCACTGGGAACGAGCCCGACTGACTGCTGGCAATGTGGACCAAGCTCTGACACCGGTCACACAGGAACCTAACAGCCCGCATCAGAGGGCCTGGTACCCCATACTCCCAGAGTACCCCCCCACAGGGCCCTGCGAGGGACGCGGTCAAACGCCTTCTCCAAATCCACAAAACACGTTGCCTTTTAAACTGAAATGTGTTGTTTTTATATGAAACATTTATTCGACAAAAGCAAGAACAGCAGACATGATGGGGAAAATACTTTTTTAGATAAATGTTGTTTGGTGATTATAGGATGAATGTGGGGCAGGTCTGTTTATCATTTCCCATTTATAACCATTTAAAAATCAATTAAAAAGGTCTGAGTTTTAATAAAACAGCTCATTCATTTCTCTCCTTTCTAAACAACCGTGTCATTATTAAAATGATAAAACACACGTGACTCAAGATGGGTTAACAGAAAACAAACAAATATTTTGTTTCTCAGCACAGATTGGAAAGCTAAGAATGTATTGGAACTAATAATACTATGAAGGATGTATTTAGCAGTTCTGAAACTCAAAACACATGAAAGTGGAACATCTGGGCTTGAGAACAGATTCTGCTCAACATGTAGAAGGACAAATAAATGATTGGTTTTCTGGCTGCAGTTAGGGGGCGCTGGCGTTCATCTTCTCCAGGCAGCTTCCCCAGAAACTCAGGAGTCTGTTGTCCTTGTTGGAACAAAAATCAGTGAAGTCTTTAAGCAGGCGATCAGCCAGCCTTTCGTCTCCCAGCACACCGGTCCTCCATGCTTTGGTCAACATGGTGTTGTAGGCCCAGTAGTAGCCCACCGGCTCCTCACCGCCAAATGGGCCCTGGCTATTGGAGGTGGTGGAGTTCCGGCGGCGTCGACTCTGCCCACAGGGATACTTTCTCTTGGAGTATGGCAGCTGCATGAACACGGTGCCTGAAGGACACAAGAACTGTGAAGCACAAGTGTTGCTCTAGCACTGAGCCGTTGCGACATGTTTGTGACTAACCTGAAACATGGATGTACTGAGGCTTGTTCTCTGCGGGGAAGTTAAAGGCTGAGGCAGAAAACTTATCGTGTACAAAACCAAACCTGTTAGAAAGCGAAGGACACCAGATTATAAATACACTTTACACTCAAGTGTCAGATACCAGAATGATTTACACACATGTGACCTTTATAGAACGAAAGTCTGAATAACTACAGTTTTAATATGGTTAATGCTTTTTATCTACAGTAAATACAGAAAATGTGTATCATTAAAGACCCAGTGGCAAATCTGCAAAACAAGCTAGCCTAAAACATTTTGTCATGCCTTTTGAACCTAATTTCTACCAACAACCATGAACAATGAACAGAAAACCTCTCTCCACCACCCTGATACACCGGATCAAACTCAATAAAATAAAGGTGAAAAAGTGACAAAATAATCAAATGGCAAATAGAACTTTAGAAGAGACAAAAAATAAATTACTCAACAATTATGAACATTTTATTCAAACAGAACACCATCAAAAAAACAACACAAACAACAACCATATGGAACTGACTTTCTATATGGTTGCCAAACGAGAGCCTGGTGTACTGGTACTGGACACCGTTGAAGGAGAAGTGCAGGAATTTCCTGTGCTTTGGAATCACCGGGATGTGAAAATAGGCGTCTCTCAGGTCGATGGAGGCGGACCAATCACCTAGGCGCACATAGCTCAGAACCTGTTTCATGGTTAGCACGCGGAAGTACTTGACCACTATGAAGTGGTTGAACCCGGGACAGATCGAGAATGGATCCGACTCCTCCCATCTTCTTTGGAACCAAGAAGTAACAGGAATAAAACCCCGAATTCTTCTCGCCTTTCAGAACCCTGGAGATTGCTTCTTTCACCAAGAGTTCCTGCAGTTCTGATCGCAGAGCGAGAGATTGATCTGATGACGTCAGTCTGGTTTCCACAATCCCCGTTAACGAGGGAGGACGTGACAAAATCTGGAGCGCACAGTGTTGTGGATTCATGCACTCATGCGGCCCATTCCTGCTCGCTTTGAGAAAGTGGGCAGAGTGTACCGTGTCTGAGCCTGACGTGCACAAGACACTGCCGAACCCCTACCACCGTTGCTACATCTGGCAGGAATGACCCATGGGGGTCTGTCCGTGAAAGGGCGCAGCTACAGAGGGTGATGCGGAAGATGGCGGGCTTGCAGACGCGGGCTCCTGAGTGGGGAAGCACATGTCTAGCAAGGGCGCAGGAGCGTGAGCCTTAACCCTTTATAGGGCCAACATCCATATTTGATCGCTTTGTTTTCTGGGATTTTCTGCATGAAAATAAATGTTTTAAAAAATTGTCACAACAGAAATACACCTTGGTTTTGGACTACAATAACACCCTGGGGTTAAAATTTTGGAAAATCTAAATACTTCAATGAGTGCCCTTGTCAAGTTCTTGTGTGGTGCACAATCCCCACTTGACAGGGATCATCTAGCTGGAGAAATACACGCAGGATCCCACTCAAGACTTCATGGCTTCACTTCTCAATTTCCTTTATTTCATTTCCATTTCATATTATTCAAGACGGAAATAGGAGATGACGAAGCACGAAGCAAGGCCAAGCCTACGAGCAGGTGAAAAACCTAAACAAAAACTGTGTGTGTGCTAAGAAACAGTGCAATTGTGTAAAATTTCATTATCTCTATATAAACTACCACTCATAAAATAGGTAAATGCATGACTTCAACATGATATATATATATTTTTTGCTAACATTTATAAAATAAATACATGATTAATTCATTCGGACCCAAACTCACTTAAATTCATCACTTCAGCTATTTTTGTTTCAATTTTACATCCCAACATTAAATAATGAGCAGATTTGAAGTAGCTCATTAACAATCAAACACCAAGTTGTTTTCTAAACACCCAACACAAACATTTAGCTATCACTCAAATATATATATATATCGGTGTCATCCACAAACAGGATACATTTTGATAACCTGAAAACATAGATGTCATTTTTGTATAAATTGAACAACTTTGGGCCCAATACAGATCCCTGTGGGACCCCACAAACAATACCCAAATCTTCTAATTTAAACTCACGCATCTGTACATAGTGTTTTCTTTCTGGAAAGTAACTTTGGATCCAGCTCTAAGTCACTCCCCTAATACCATACTTTTCTAGTTTTTATAATAATATTTATGATCAAGAGTATCAAATGCTTTTTTAAGGATGATAAATACAGGGTTCCCTCGAGTTCTCAAAAAGCCTTAACCCCTTGAATTTATGTATTTGGAAATAATACCTTATAAAGTCTTGAATTTTGACAACTGGGTCTTAAAACTTATATGGTACTGTATTTGTCCTCAAGTTTCATTTGTTAACCACAATCATTTTTATTAAATAGCGTAGCATGAATAAAGAGTGGCGGAACCAATGATCGAGAACGCAGCACAGCCTCGGGTCTAAATACTCCGAACACGTGACGTATTCAGCTCCCGCGCGCTACAGCAGTGATACAAAACAGTAAACATAAAGTTAAAAGTTAAAGTCCCATTAGCT